CTGTGTGGTGGGGGGGAGCGGGGCTGAGGGGCAGGGGCAGCCGAGGGGCAGCTGAGGACCGGGGTATGGGGCTGGCGAGCCCCACAGGGACCCGGGCCAGTCTGCTAGGGTCACTGGCAGCAATGGGCGGTGGCCGAGCGATCCAGAGGAAGGTGTGGTGGCGTTTCCGGGGGTCCCTGTCGCTCGGGCTGGGGCTGGGGCTAGCCGAGCCTGCCGCGGCGGTAGGGGACAGCACGGCCCTCTCACCTTTGGGGCTGAGGTCCAAACCCTCCAAGTGGAAGACACCGCTCCTCAGGGCGATCTCCTGAAGGATGATGCCGAAGCTGTAGACGTCCCCGGCCTGGGAGCCCCGCACAGGGGGCGAGGCCATTCGCAGGAGCTCAGGGGCTGTCCACAGCTTTTCTGTGGGTCAGAGGTCAGCGGTCACAGGGCCAAGGGCCCTGAAGCTCAAAGGAACCAAGGATGTGGCTAGAGGGCGTGGCTGCGACTGATCTGGGGTGCTGGAGCTAGAGGGTCCCTGAGATCACTCGTCTGCCTCCCCTTCCGCTGATGGGTGAGCTGAGGCTGGAATGGCCAAGCTTTCCATCTCCCTGCGGCCGGGCTGGGGCCGGCTGGGGGCAGAGTGGGGCTGGGCTCACTGGCATAGAGGGTGTGTCCCTGCTCTGGCTCTGGGTCCCTGAAGCTCTCCAGCCCGTAGTCGGTGATCTTGAGCACGAAGCGTCCGTCTACCACGCAGTTGGATGACTTCAGGTTCCCATGGGAGCAAATGGACCCGTTGTGTAGAAAGAGCATCCCCTGGGGACACGGGAGGCACGGTCTGGGGTACGAGTCGACCCGCAGCCAGGCCGGGGAGCGGCACGCCCCCCTCCAGCCGACCCACCTTGACAATGTCGTTGGTGAGGGAGTACCGGAACATCCAGTCGAGGGTGATGCTCTCATTCTCCAGGATGTCCTGTTGGGCAGCGAGAGTCAGACCCGTGCCCTGCCGACGCCCGGGGTGCAGAGAGCAGGGGCCTGCCTGCTGTCAGCTGGCAGAACGGGACGGAGCTTTGGGTTGACTCCGGTGCCACTGCCTACAGCCACTCCCACTTTACAGATGGGCAAACGGAGGTCAGAGAGAGGGAGAGGCTTGCGCAGGGTCCGAGGGCCAGTCAGGGTCAGAGCCTGGCCTAGGCCAGGTTTCCCAGGACCCGCTTGTCCCCTCACCTGCAGGCTCCCCCGGGGACAGTACTCCGTGAGGATACAGATGTTGGGGGGGTCGGTACAGGCGCCCACGAACCTGGTCAGGTGTTCGTTCTGCACGTCCCGCATCTGCAGGTGGGAGCCCACATCAGGAGCCCGCGCCGGGAGCCCACAGAGGCCTCGCTACGAACCCAATGTCCCCGCCCCCACCCAGGATCCCTCACTCTTCTTAATTCCCTATTGATCTCCGCAGACCTCCTAGGAACTTCCCTGGTGGTTCCAGCATGTTCTTTAGCCCACCTCCCCCCAGACTCTGCTCCCTGCTCCCTCCGCCTCCCAAGCCCTGTGCCCCCTGGGGCCTCGAGTATGGCCCCTCCACGACCTTCCTCCGGGACCTCGCCCATCTCCCCTCCTCATCCATGGTCTCCTCCTCCCACCCGCAATATACAAGTGCCCGTCCAAGGGGCTACGGACAAGCCGAGGTCCCCGCAGGCCCGCGCCCCGCGGTGCCCTTCCCCAGGCCGCTGGCTCACTGCCCCACGTTACATGCTTCAGCTCAAACAGGACTCTTCTCGTCAGCTCGATGCGCTTACGGTTCACGCGCTTCACGACCACGAGGTTGCCCTGGGCAGGGAACGGGAGACTGTCACTGTGAGGAGGTGGCCCCGGGCCCTGGGGACCCCTCTGTCCCGACGCTGCCCCAGCCCCCGGGCCCACCTTATAATACGCGGTCTTGGCGAAGACTTGGAACTGGCCCTCGGTGGTGAGCAGGGAGCCGTAATTGGAGCCTCTCTGAAGGGGTGGCGGGCAGAGGGACAGTCAGCCCATGGGCCCCACGGCCGGCTCTCCCTCCCGCGGGCCGGACCGCTGCTCTTCTCCATGCCATGAAATCCTCTCATTTACTTTTTTCCTTTTTTAAATATGGTTTCATGTACACTATCTTCCGTCTCTGAATGAGCCTCCCGAGGGAGGCTCCGCAGGTGTACTCATTCTCTACGGTGGCTCAGAGAGGAGACGTGACTTGCCCAAGGCCACACGACAAGTGAAGGCAGAGCTGGGCCTAGACCCCTGCTCCCTGCTCTCCCCCCTACCCATCAGGCCCTGCTCCTCTTCCCTATTCCCCGCCACCAGTGTCCTCACCCCACTCAAGGTCAGTCGGCTGCCCGCGCTCCGAAGGTGCCTCTCGAGGCTGCTGGGCTGCAGGTCCTCCCAACGCACCCGCCACAGCTCTGAGGCCAGTTCCTTCTCCAGCTGCATCTTCCTGGGGTGTGAAAGCTGCGTCTGAGCCCGTCTGAGCCCCGACCCAGGGCGGGGTGCTCTGCCCACAGCCCCTTCTCACAGCCCTGGGATCACCGCCTGTGCCGAGGCATCCCCGCCGCTCTGCGGAGCGGCAGATGGGGGACTGTCCTCTGAGCCCAGACTCGGAAGGCGTGGCTGAAACCCTGCCTCACTGGGACCCTGGGGTAGGCGCTTCATTCCTCTGAGTCTCGTGTCTTCTTGTCCAACCAAACGTCCTCCTTCGGAAACTGGGGACTCGACATGTATTTGTAAGCATCGCTATAAGGACGGGAGAGCACCGAGGGCTGCGTGGGGAAGCGGCCACAGGTAGCATGGAGCACATGCTGGGCCAGCACTGATCCCGCCCCGTCCTTGCCTCTCTTCATCTGGAACTTCTCCTGCATCTTCTCTCCAGCTCCAACAGGAAAGCAGGACCGGGGCCTTTTATCTCCCTGGGGACTTATCATCCCTGAGCAGCCAGCAGGGACCCGATCCCAAAGGGTCTCAACCACTGCTCTCATCCGGTCTGCTAGAGTAGGAAGGGCTGACAAGCCAACCCGCTGCCACTGCCCACGCCCCTGTGATGCCACGCCTGCCTTCGACTGCTCTGGATCTTCTCAGACCCAGCCCCCCACCCCCCACTCCTAGCCCGGTTCCCTCCTCCTCTCTCCCCTGGGTCCTGAGGCTTTTTAGTGTCTCTTCTCCCCCATCTCCCGTTTTCCCCTGCTGTCCCCTCCCCCCACGTCCCCTTCCCTCAGGGCCCTGCCACCGCCCCTGCCGTCGGTGCCCCAGGCTTCCCAGCCTCACTCAGCACCCTCGCCCTGAGGCCCACCTGTATATGAAGATGGAGATGAGTAGGATGCTGAGCAGGGACAGGCTGCCCACCAGAGCCAGTGCCTCCAGGGTGGAAAAGTGGGCTGCAGGAGAGAGTCGAAGTTGTGGCAAGAGAGGCTTCGCTTAGACCCCTCTAACTGTCAGCCAGTGCACTAGGATGGTGCACGGGGGGAAGGAAATGGCAGGAGGAGGGTATCTCTCCAGAAAGTTCTGGGGGGGGGGGGCGGCATCTCCAGAACGAGAGGCCTGGATGCCAGGGGGCAGGTACCTTGGTTGCAGGCTGGGTCCTCATTGTCAAAGCCACATCTGGGGATGTCAGGAGGTGGGAACCCCAGGGGCCAGTTCAGTTGGTGCCCCGACACGGCCACCAGCTCTTCGGAAGTCCCGTTGTAGTTTAGGACGACCTACGGGAGGGTGGGAGTGGCCGGCGGGCACGGTCCAGGGGGGCGGTCCTGCCTCCACCTTCCCTCTCTATTTCCAGAGCCTGCATGTGGGCTGCCAACTATTTACCAAACTCCTGATGCCAGTGGGTACAGGGAGCCCCCACACCTAGCCCCTGTCATTAGAGTAAAGACTTGAAAACTCAAGAGAAAAAAACCCAAAAACTGCATATAGAGAAAACTCCATAGAAAGAAAACTGTATAGAACCCAGCCCTACCCTCAGGGAGTTTATAATCCTGGGTTGAAGCTCATAGAAAACAAGGAAAGGCAGTGTTCTCGGCGCTGTTCCCATGCCTAAGCCAGGTACCCCTCCTCCAGGAAGCCTTCCCTGCTTGATCTGCTCCTCGGCGCCTGTGCTCCCGTCGCTCCTGTTCCTGACTGCACCTAGACTCCCAGGATGTGCGTTCACTTCGGCCCGAGGCCCCGACTCGGCCCATCCCTGCTGGGCTGGGTCCTGCCTGCCTTGGGAAACACCAGACTTCCCGGGGGCAGGGCGGTGCCCCCTCCTCGGTCCTGGGGTTCCCTAAGGGTAACGCCTTCGTCCCTATCCCTATCCTTCCGTTGCTTCCCCAGACAGGAGTGAGTCTCTTTTATCCAGGACTCTACTTAAGGTAAGCGACCAGGCACGTTAGGGCGACTGCAGAGCGGACAGATGCCCTGGCAGGCTGCGGGGGGCAGCGCCGTCTTCTGGGGGCACAGCCTTACCCTGAAGGCGCCCGTCTCAGGGTCCATGTCCCAGAGGGAGAAGTCGGTCTCCCGGTCTCCATTGCTGTCTATTTTCAGGTATCCCGCCACACCTAGGGCGCGGAGGAAGATGGCTGTGTTTGCGGCGAGCGGAAGGGGGTTCAGGGACACCCCCACCCCGTCTTCATCCCTCGATCGTCTGTCTCTGCTTTGCCCTCCAAACACACATACATGATCATCAAAGGGACAGACACTCAGCAGCGGGAATGAGTGGGGCTGGGTGCATAGGGCACGTCCCGGAGGAGCCGGGGAGATGGGGCAGGAGGGCCTGACGGAGCGGAAGGACTCTGTGGAAGGGGAAGAGGCGGGTGTGGGCCGGCCACCGCCCGGGCGCAGGGCTGCGGCTCCCCGAGGCGGCCCCTTCTTGCCACCTCCAGGCCCTGACCTTGGAAGCTCCGGTTCCACATCCGCTGGGTGATGGCCTCCCCATCGGTGACTGTGCCCCCATGTGCCAGAGTCTCGGTCACCGCCTGGACGTAGAGCAGGAGCCCGTCGTGGAAGGACGCTGGGATGGTGTTCACCTGCAGGGATGAGCAGAGCCTGGGTGGGGTGGGGTGTGCGAAGGGCCCAGAGCGGGGTGCTGTGGGGGAGGGGGCGGGGCGCTGGGAGCTTGGAAGAGGACCGAGAAAATGTTCCCATGTGACGGAGACTTTGTTACTTATAAGACACCTCCGCATGTGCCACCGCTTCTGAATCTTGCTAGGCAGACAGGGCAGGATGTGAGAGTCAGAGACTGAACAATTTGTCAGCGTCCCCTCCGCCCGGTCACCAGAAGAGATACAGAGACAATGGGAAGGGAAAGAAGGGGAAGCTGGGAATACTGGGATGGCAGAGGGCCGTGCAGTGGGGGCTGAGGGGCCACGCGGGAGGGGCCCAGCACCCCCTCCTACCAGGCC